ACCCACTGTCCAGCCCTGGCCACCAGCTCCTCTGGCCACCCACTGTCCAGCCCTGACCTCCAGCTCCTCTGGCCACCCATTGTCCAGCCCTGGCCTCGTGGTCACTGCATTGTCCCTTGTGGGACCCCAAATCCCAACGGAAGGTCTGGACCCACATCCTGGCCGTGAGTGACCCCGAGTGACCCTGAGTGACCTGAGTGACCCTGAGTGACCACTGAGTGACCAATGAGTGACCACTGAGTGACCAATGAGTGACCCTGAGTGACCACTGAGTGACCACTGAGTGACCAATGAGTGACCTGAGTGACCCTGAGTGACCCTGAGTGACCTGAGTGACCCTGAGTGACCACTGAGTGACCAATGAGTGACCCTGAGTGACCCCTGAGTGACCCAGAATGACCACTGAGTGACCAATGAGTGACCCTGAGTGACCCCTGAGTGACCCTGAGTGACCCCGAGTGACCACTGAGTGACCAATGAGTGACCCTGAGTGACCACTGAATGACCCTGAGTGACCCCGAGTGACCCCTGAGTGACCCTGAGTGACCCCGAGTGACCCTGAGTGACCAATGAGTGACCCTGAGTGACCACTGAGTGACCACTGAATGACCCTGAGTGACCCCGAGTGACCCCGAGTGCCCCCGAGTGCCGGAATTCCCGGAATTCCCGGGCAGTTCCCACCTGTGGATTCCGAGGCGTCCGAGGGCTGCCGGCCGTGGCCGGGGGATCTTCGCTCCGAGGGGGAATCGCCCAGGGCCGAGGAGAGGCCGCTCAGCCTGGGAATTTGGGAATTCGGGAATTCGGGAATTCGGGAATTGGGGAATGCCGGACACGACCCCCGGTCACCCCCAGAGAGCTGGAGAGGAGCCCTGGCAGATCCCAAATCCCCCTGGCAGATCCCAAATCCCCCTGGTAAATCCCAAATCCCCCTGGCAGATCCCAAATCCCCCCTGGCAGATCCCAAATCCCCCTGGTAAATCCCAAATCCCCCCTGGCAGATCCCAAATCCCCCTGGCAGATCCCAAATCCACCCCGGATCAGATCCCAAATCCCCCTGGCAGATCCCAAATCCCCCTGGCAGATCCCAAATCCCCCTGGCAGATCCCAAATCCACCCCGGGATCAGATCCCAAACCCCCCCAGGATCAGATCCCAAATCCCCCTGGCAGATCCCAAATCCCCCCAGGATCAGATCCCGAATTCCCCTGGTAAATCCCAAATTCCCCTGGCAGATCCCAAATCCCCCTGGGATCAGATCCCAAATCTGCCTGGGATCAGATCCCAAATCCCCCTGGCAGATCCCAAATCCCCCCTGGATCAGATCCCGAATTCCCCTGGCAGATCCCAAATCCACCCAGGATCAGATCCCAAATCCCCCTGGCAGATCCCAAATCCCCCTGGCAGATCCCAAATCCCCCCAGGATCAGATCCCAAATCCCCGCTGGGATCAGATCCCAAATCCCCCCCAGGATCAGATCCCAAATTCCCCCTGGGATCAGATCCCAAATCCCCTCTGGGATCAGATCCCAAATTCCCCCTGGGATCAGATCCCAAATTCCCCCTGGGATCAGATCCCAAATCCCCCTGGGATCAGATCCCAAATTCCCCTGGCAGATCCCAAATTCCCCCTGGATCCCCCTTTTCTCTGGGATCAGCTCCCCCTAAGGAAAAAATCCCTGGAAAAGCCCCTCAGGATTTTCCAGCCCCTTTTCCATGAGCAGCCGCAGAGCTGGGCCCTGCCCTGGACATTCCCGGCCAATCCGCAGGAAAATCGGGATTAACCCTCGGGATTATCCAGGGCCCAGCCCAGGTCAGCCCTTTTTATCCACCCAAAATCCCTTGTTTTTCCCCAAAAATCCCCAAATTCCGGGATCCGCGGCATTCCCGAGACGCTTTTCCTTCAAAACCGTAATTCCAGGAATGCCCAAATCCCAGCCAGGGGATCCAAAGGGATCCAGAGGCTTCTCCTGCCCCTCTGGAAGCAGCCAGGGTTTAACGAGGCTATAAAAAAGTCATTTAATTCGGCTTAATTAAAGCTCCTTAATTGCCTCGGGGGCGGCCGAGCCAGGGCAATTCCCACAATTCCCATTCCAGCGGCACCTCCGGAAGGACCCAGCCCCGCTCTCCCTTCCCAAGTCCCAAAAATTCAAAATTCCCAAAAAACCGAAGCTTGGAATGGGAAAAAATTCCCTTTTCCCAACATTTCTGCCCACCGGGTTCCCTCCGGAGACAGGTTTGGAATCCCCAGCTGGAAAATCCCACGGAAACCTGGGATAAACCAGGGTTGAAAGCAGGAAAAAAGGGGGGAAATCCCATTTTCCGACTTTTCTGACCACGCCGTGGCTTTCCAAGGAAAAGCAGAATTCCAGGGGCAGCTGGGAGGACCTGGAGGGCTCTTCCCAGAAAATTCCCGAGTGTTTTTATCGGGAATGCTGCAGGACAAAGCCGCAATTCCCGGCTCTTCCCTCAACCCCAAACCGCTCATTCCCGGGTTGTTTTTTGGGAATGTCCCCCAGGAAATCCGGGATCTCCGAGGAGCCGCCACCGAATTCCACGGGAACAACCCCGAATTCCCAAACCCCTTTCCCACACAACTTTGGCCTTCCATTCCCAAATTAACAAAAAACTCGGGATCTCAGGGAAAGTTTTTGCTTTCCCACATTCCGAGGGCGGCCGCCGAGTCCTGGGAGGAATTCCGGGAGTTTGGATCCCGCTGGAATTTCTCCTCGGATTTGCAACATTTGGTTCCCTCCCTGCCGGGGGCTGCGGCTCCGCTGCTCTCCCTGGAAAAACACCAGGAAAACCACGGAGAGACCGGAGAAACACGGGAATATTTTCCCATTTTTCCTGCTTTAAACCCGGGTTTATCCCTGGTTTCCATGGGATTTTCCAGCTGGGAATTCCAATCCTGCTGTGGGAAGAGATGGGAATGGAGGCCAGGGGTCAGAAATGTTGGGAAACGGGTTTTTTCCCCATTTTTCCCGCTTGAAACCCTGATTTATCCCAGATTTCCATGGGATTTTCCAGCTGGGAATCCCAAAGCCTTTTTTGGGAAGGGGATCCCAACGGAACGCCACCGTCCGGAGCGATCCCAAATGTTGGGAAATCGGGAGGTTTTCCCATTTTTTTTTTCAATTGGTCGGGGTTTTTTCGGGAATTCTCCACGGGAATTCTCCAGGAAGAATTCCCGGCGGGGTAATGATTAACGGAGCCGCTCCTGGGGAAGTGGGAAGTGGCAGAGCTGGTTGGGCCGGAATTCCGGCTCCTGGAATTCCCTGTCCCGGGGGGATCCTCTCCCCATTCCCGCAGAATTCACAGCTGGGAGGATCCTGAAATCCCCGGGATGAGGCACTTCCAGGGATGGGGAACCCATGGAATAACCTGGGCAGGATCCAGGAATGGGCCCTGGAATCCCAAATGAACCAGCCCAGGGAATCCTGGAATTCTCTGGGCTGGGAAAAGCAGGAAAAATCCCCAGGATCTGGTGGGAAAACGATCCCTGAAATTCCCGGGATCTGCCTCTCTCCCAGGGCCCCAAATCCCTCATTTCCCACCCAAATCCACGTGGGAAATGCCGTGGCTGGTGCAAAGATCCCAATCCAAGAATTCTCGGCCAAATTCCTGAATTTATCCCAGAAAAAGCTCCAGGGTTTTCCAAGGGTTTATCCCACCAAAAAAAATCCCCAAATTTGGTGTAAAATGGAGCCAAACAAACTGGGAAAAAGCCAATCCCCGGTGGTGGATATTGGAAATATCCCAAAAATCAGGGAAGTTCGGGATATTCCCCCGCACTCCCCAAATCCGGGAGTTTTATCCCAAAACGCTGCTCCCCTGAGGGATTCATGGAAATACGGGATGGGCTGAGTCCCACCATTCCCAAAATCCTGGAATTTTATCCCAAATTCCCGTCTTTCCCCCTAAGGAATGGGGTGAGGGCTACAGGGCGAGCGGAGCCCCCTCCCAGAGCCTCAAAATCCCAGAATTTCACCCCAAAACACCCCAAATCCTGACATTTCACCCCAAATCCTGACATTTCACCCCAAATTCTGACATTTCACCCCAAAACACCACAGGGACCCAGTGCGGAGTCCCGGATGAGCTGAGCCCCCTCCCAGAGCCTCAAAATCCCAGAATTTCACCCCAAAACACCCCAAATCCCAGGATTTCACCCCGAATCCCAGGATTTCACCCCAGACCACCCCAAATCCCAGGATTTCACCCCAAATCCCGGCATTTCACCCCAAACTGCTGCTTTTCCCCGCAGGACCACCCTGGCAGCTCCCGGAGCAGCGGAGCCTCCTCCCAGAGCCCCAAAATCCCAGGATTTCACCCCAAAGCCCCGCGCCCGCTTCCAGAGCCCCCAAACCCCTGGATTTCCCCCCAAACCCCGTTCCCACTCTCAGAGCCCCAAAACCCCCAGATTTCACCCCAAACCCCGCGCCCGCTCCCACAGCCCCAAACCCCCGGATTTCCCCCCAAAACCCCCAGATTTCACCTCAAAACCCCCAGATTTACCCCCAAACCCCTCACCCGCTCCCACAGCCCCAAATCCCCGGATTTCACCCC